GGGGGGGAGGACGAAAGAGAGGAAAAAGCCACCAGCACCCCCTTCGAAAAGAAAAAGGGAAAAAAAAGTTCCGGGCGGGCTGGCAGCGACCGCTCGGGGCAGGTTCTCAGCGCGGTGCCACCGCGGGGCTGAGCGGAGCCGAGCGCGGGGTGCGGAGAAGAGCGCGGAGGGGACGTGGGCTCGTCCAGCTCCGTTCGCCAAGTGCCGGGACCCGCTGCCCAACCAGCTGGGATCCTGCTCCGGAGAGACTCCCTCACCCAACCCTCCCGCCCGCCCCCTCCCCCCAAACCTCCTTTTCCAGCCTATTTTTCTGGCCGGCAAACAAGAACAAGGCACAAAGACAATCGCCAAACTCCCCAGCAGCCCTCCCCCTCTGTCTTACCTCCTTCCCTCCCTCCTCCATCCATCTCTCCCAACCAAAGAGAAAATTCAGCGCCTGGGAATATCCCCCTTCCCCCTCAACCCTTTAAATAAATCGCTGGCTCCGCTAACCTCACACCACCCCCGCCCCCTGCAACCCCCCCGCCCTCAGAGGCTGCCCAGAGGTGTGGATGTGAACCCATCTCTATCTTTGCTTACATAGGCCTTAAAAAAAACTAATAATAATAATAAAAAATAATAAAAACCTATGGAAGGGGGAGAAGAGGGGGGAAGGGGTTGGGGGGAGATCCCCTCAAGTGGACCCTACTCCGTATAAGCAGGGAAAAGGGATGGAACAACGCGGAGAGGGACTGAACCCACCAAGGCTGACCATGCAGTGCGTGTCTTCCCCCCGAGCCCCTCTCTCCATCCTCTCCCCCACCCCTCGCCTCTCTGCCCGGCCAGGGCACGCAGCCCCGCAGCCTCCGCTCTGCTCAAATAATCAAACCGTCAGCGAGGAACGGGGACGTGGCTTTATCTGCGTCTTCCTCCTCTCCCTTCTCGCTCTCTTTTTAATGTATTATTTTGAGGGTAAAGTTGAATAGGTCAGCGCAGGGTAAACAGCCTTCCTGTGGCATTCTGCAGCCTGAAGAGAACCAGATTGGCGAGTCGGATTTTTGATAAGACTCGGAATAAATGGCATGTTTTAGATCTGCTCTGCCCACCTTCCTCCTCCTTCCACCCCCTCCCCTTTGCTCTAAACCCCCCCCCTATCCCCCCCGAAACCTCAACCCTTTTCTGCCTCTCGGCCGTTCCTTTTGCATTTCGCGGAAGTTTCGGAAGAGCCACAGCGCTGCCCAGCTCCGCAGGGCTCGGGGACGCCGCAGCCTCTGCGAGTTGCAGGAGAAAGCAGCGGGCGAAAAGTCCGGGGGGTGAGCGGCCGGGGGGGGCGTGTGTGGGTGTAGCTTGGCATTTCCTAAGGCCCCCCCCAATGCGTTCTACCGAGGAGAAACAGCGAACGGTAAACGGTTGCAAATCAGAATAATAAAATAACTGCACTTGTAGCCGCGGAGAATTAGCCAGCGAGCGCTACTTAAACAAACAGAACAAAGCTTGTCCCGTCTTTCATTATTTTTAGAGGGAAGAGAGCCGAGCAACCCTTCCAAACACAAACAAACGAGCGAACAAATCGCGCCGTCCTTCCGCGCGGTGCCGCGGCCGCTCCGGCCTCGGCCTTGGAGAGAGCGGGCACGGCCCCGGCTGCCCTCCCACCGTCACGGAGAGGCGAATACAAGCCGCAGAGCCCGGTCGGGCTGCGGGAAAGCCGGGTCGAACCGGGGGGACGCGACTGTTGGGAATGCAACCCTGCTAAAAGCAAGCCAGAGGAGAATTATTAGTATCATTAATTATTATTATTTCATTAAAATATATCCGAGCAACGAGGTAAAAGCTTGCCTGCATCGAGGAAAAAGGTTGCCCGCAGCTCGTAGTGAGGGAGAACGCGACCCTCCCCTCCCCTCGCCAAAAAGAAGGCAAAAGTGGAAATCTCGAAGTTTGCAGAAGCGCCCTCGAGCGCGGCTGCTGCCCGGGCAGCGCTACTGGCGCGGGTCGCGCACTCACCTCCGCAGCGCCAAAGAGGCTCGCAAACACCTCGAAGACAAGTTGAAAACGATGCAAATAAATCGAATTTATTTCCGTCTGCAGGTTGGGGGGTGAAGAAGAAGGAAAAAAAAAAAAAAAAAAAAAGCTGGGAAAAGGAGCGCAAGCCCAGGCTCCCTAGGACTGTAATGTCAAGGCGAGGGAGCCTTCCAGCTAGAAGCCGATTTGTGGTCTCAGACAAATTAAATA